TAAGAGCTGCTGTGCAAGAGACACCCCTATGGAGCAGGATTTGTTTCAGTGGGGCTTTGGTGCTCACCAAGTCTACCCATTGAGTCTGTCACTTGTGGATGTGGTAGAGTTGTAATCTTGCATGGTCTGAAACTGTCTACTGGATGCACTGGCTCTGGGGCCTTCCAGGAGGGGCAAAGTCAGCCTCTGCCTGTGCCCTGCCTGGGGCCACCTGGCATGAGCTACAGAGTGGTATGCAGATGGATGCTACTTGTATTGGACTAGGAGGTGGCCAGTAGAGAACAAGCTGGGAACCTTGGCAAACTGCTGCTAGTGTCTCGATACTTATCGAGAGGTATGGAGCACACTGAGTCCAGTTGCTACTTGTTTGAGAGGTTTTAGGAAAGTCTGAAGCCTGAGCCAGAATAGGCCATTAATATATAGAAGATACACTGTAAATAGCTTGGGAGGGGCTGCAAATTGGGTGGGGCAGGATCTGAGGGACTCACCAGGGTGGGGCAAACAGTGTGGGCCAGGTTGATGGAGACTCAGATATGGAGCGCCTGCCAGTCAACTGAATGTGGCGGGGGGGAGGTCGCAGCATTTTGGGGGAGAAAGCTGCCCCTGAATTTCCCTAATACCAGACAATATAATTCCTCCCCATATGTCCCTGGATCCTTTCAAGATGCTGCCCAGGAATGGAGTTCAGAGGGAGTAAGTCTGGGTAAGCCCATGTGCTGGCCCTGTAAGTGGAACTGCCTGCGACTCCAATAGTCTCCATGTCACTCAGCCACAATCCCCGCTTGGTTTTTACCACCCGAAGTTACAGGGACATCTCTTCCTGGCACTGGAACCCTGAGCTGGGGGTCTTGTGTGGGGCTGGGACCCTTGCTCCTCACGGGAGGCCTCCTCAGCTAAGATATTCCTCCCAATTAAAAACACACCACATGTGGGTGAAAGACCAGCCCGTTCCTCACCTCTACCCCTCCTACTAATCTCAATGTTCTTTCTTCTTTAATCCTCTAGTTGTAGGACTTCCACTCAGCCAGACTTCAAGCAGTTCTGAATAATGGTCGGTCTGTATTTTAGTTGTAATTTTGATGTGGTTGTGGGAGGATGCAAGTACCAGCATTTACCTACACCACCATTTTGGTTCCTACGGTATTTTGTTCTTTTTGATACTGTTGTAAATGGAATTTTCTTAATTTCCTTTCTGAATTTTTCATTGTTTGTATATAAAACACGACTGATTTTTACAAGTTGATTTAGTAACCTGCAGCTTTGCTGAATTTATTAGTTCTAACAGTTTTTTGTGGGATCTTTTTTTTTTTAATATATTTTTTATTGATTTTACAGAGCAGGCAGATCATATCATAAGCAAATTTTACCTTTTCCTTTCCAATTTGAATGCCTTTTATTTATTTATTTATTTATTTATTTTGCCTAATTACTGGCTAGGATTTCCAATACTGTTTTGAGTAGAAATGGCAAAAGCAGACATCTTTGTCTCTGCCTAATCTTAGAAAAGAAACTTTCCGTCTTTCACTATTGAGAATCATGTTAGCTGTGGGTTTGTCATAAACGGCCTTTATTATGTTGAGGTAGTTTCCTTCTATTCCTAGTGTGAGCATTTTTATCATGAAAGGGTGTTGAATTTTGTCAAATGCTTATACTGACTAAATTGCCTTACTATTTATAGACTCATTCATATTTTCTATTTCTTTATGATTCCATTTGGTAGGTTTTGTGTCTCTACAAATTTGTTCATTTCATCTAAGTTATCCAATTTTTTGGTATGCAATTATTCATAGTACTATTACAATTCTCATTTGTTCTGTAGAATTGGTAGTAATATCCTCACTTTCATTTCTGATTTTAGTGATTTGAATCTTCTCTCTTTTTTTCTTAAGACAATCTAGTTTAAGGTTTATCAATTTTGTTAATCTTTTTTGAAGAACCAACTTTTGGTTTCATTGATTTTTCTCTATTGTTTTTCCATTCTGTATTTTATTTATCTCCACTCTAATCTTTATTATTCCCTTCCTTCTGGTAGCTTTGAATTTAGTATATTCTTTATATAGTTCCTTAAGTTGTAAAGTTAGGTTGTTGATTTGAGATCTTTCTTTTTTTTTTTTTTTAAAGTAAGCAATTACAATAACAAATTTCTTGCACAAGATTCTTTACTTTCTGGGCCCCATTTCCACTACTGAAAAGTACAGTAACAGTACCTGCTTCATTATATTGCTTTAAATATATAATGTAATAATCAATTAAACCCTTAGGAAATGCCACATGCGACAGAAAAGTTCCATAAGTGTGAGCTGCTCTTATTACTACCATTATCATTAGCCTCTATGAAGTCAGGTGGTCCTAGAGTTGACACCCAGATCCACCTCTTACTAAACATATGACTTTGGGTAAATTTTTTTAACACTCTAAGACTCAATTTTTTCATCAGTAAAATGGAAATAATGTCTATCTGACAGGGTTGTTATATGAATTAAATGAGATATAACTAAAGTATTGAGCACAGAGCCTGGCACATAGTAAGTACCGCATAGCAGTAGCTAACATAAATAATAATCATCAATCTTGAGTTGACCAGTGAGGACAACAGAAATAAAAGAGAAGATATAGGTGCAAATTTATTTATATCTGGGAGTTAGGGGGACATCATTCACAAAAATCATTGGGACATGGTTACTGACTAAATAAAGGAAAATAATTAAAAGAAGTTGAGTGCAAAGTTTCAAGCCTAGTTTGTTCAGTTTCACCCCCTGAGATGCAGCCAAGATGGGATTAGATATACAAATATTTACTGGAAAAAATGCCTGTTAAAGGTGAGTGGAAGTGGGAAAAGCCTAGGAGATTTCTCTGACCAGGATGCAGATCTGATTACTGTGAAGGAGAAAGAGGAGAAAATTTTAAGTTGCAGTGTGGTTCTAAGAGAGTATCTGCAAAGCTGATGGGGTGTCTGAGCTAAAGTCACCCATAGAGGAAAACCGTTCCTCACAGAATGGACTTATTTCAGATCCCTGCTGAGAACCTGTGGGAAGTCTCTGTGCAAAGCAGATGGTGCATTTACCACCTTCCATCAATTAAGTCCCCACCACAGGAGACCTGAGTGGCACATATTCATGGCTGCCATACCTGGTACAGTAAAACAGGCAACCATGAAATGGTGAAAACTTAAAACTTACAAAAATGGAAATCCGCCTTTCTCACATTTCCAAAGCTCCAAAAGTATCTTTGTGTAGAAAGGCCAGGATGGAATTGTGGCAAGTCTGAGCACCAACCTAGAAATACAGTGAAAGAGAGAAAATATAAGGATGTAGTCAGCTATTTACCTCAAAGGGCACCCCCACTGTAAAATAACGTCACCTCACTCATTCTTCTCTTTTCCAGCCATGACAGATGATCCAACACTACCAAGTCCTGGCCTCTCAGATGGGGCTATGGCCGGCATCGTGATTGGCGTCCTGGCTGGCGTAGCTCTGATAGCAGCCCTGGTGTACTTCCTGTATATCAGAAAGACTGGAGGGTATGACGGCCTTCCCTCTTGCTTCGCTTCCTCCAAAGCTAACGACCATGCTTGGGAGAGGGAAGGAGAGTTCCCCTCTGTCTCTGGGCCTGGATCTGCTCCTCCTCCTCCCTAAGCCCCTGCTTCTCAGCATGGATTCCTGAGGCCTCTTCTTCCCTGGTCTTCAAGCTTCCTGTACCCCTCTCCCTTTGGGCCATGGTTATTCCCATTTCCATCTGGTTTAGAGGGGGCAGATTATGCAATAGGTCCCCCAGTCAGGGAAGCCAAGGTCCAAGAAGGAAAACAAATGAAAATACAAAAAGAGAAGCTAGAGAAAGTGAGTTCTGTGCTCTGTCAACCACGGCAAGCGAAGGAGAAGAGAGGGTGGGGACAGGAAGAGAACCTAACAAAAAGCAGAAACTGAAGGCACCTTAGGCAATAAATAAGGTGAAGATAAAAACAGCATCTACCTTCAAAAGGGAAAGGTGTCAGGGTAGAAGTAGGCTCAGAGGCAGTCGATAAAGAATGGACCTATGTGAACGTCAGGACAACAGGAAAGGAGTGCACACTGGAAGGCATGGTGGGTACACTGAAGAGGAGGCCTAGGAGGAAAGGCAGTACCAACTCTGGTGTAAATGAGCACTGAGGAGCCCCAAGAAATTTACTGCTGACAATGTCCTTGCTGCTTCAAGGAGCAAAGAGCCTGTGCTTGGGAATAGCAGTCACAGTCTCTGATATTTGTTTAGGGCAAGCGACCAGCGCGATCTCACAGAGCACAAACCCTCAGCCTCCAACCACAGTAAGTAAAACCATCACCAGTGAGAGCTGGTGTGTTCCACCACGTGCCCTGCCCTAGCAGGAAACCTGGTCCCATGGACTCAGTACCTTCTGAAATGTTAGAGGGGATCTCCACTTCCCAACCTTAGGTTGCCATAGGTCCTCACACCCTTTTAGTCACAAAGATTCCCCTGAGAGCCAGCCCTGGGAGAGACTCACTCAGCGAGACCTGGCAGGCCTGAGTAAGATGGACATGTTTTCCAAAGCCATTCCTCACCTTACCCTTTCCCCTCCTCCTCTATTAGGATGTGGGCACTCTCCTTTGGTGAGACTTTCCCTGTCTTGTGGTGCTCTGGGTGCTGCCCCTCCTTGCCACTGGTGTCTGGTGCTTAGAAACACAACTGGGCAAAAAATCAAGGCCTTGTCAACTGGAAAAAAATCTTCAGAAGTGGACTGCGGCCTCTGTGGCTCTACTGTTGCCTCTCTGCCCACTTCTCCCCCAGTCCCCCTCCACTGGCACTAACACCCTGGGTCTGGACCACAGACTCTGAGGGAATCGAATTCTTTAAGTGATCATGGACCACCGCCCCACCCCACCTTCCCCTATCTGCCACCTCCTTCAGCTAGAAATCATAACAGTTTAACAACACTAAGGCTGTAAGGCTATAAGTCAGTTTTGCATTTTCATGGATTGCTAACTCTTCTTTCAACTCCCAGGTCAGGGCCTCTCTGACAACTCACCTAAGAAGGTAAGCACAGCCAGTTTCACTGGCTCATTTTCTCATGCATATACCTCTATAGAGAATGGGTTACTCTTGAAGACACAAATGCAATCAAATTTGAGTCAGAGTTCCTCAATGCAGCAACAAACAAGGATGTATTGGTTAATTACTCCCATTGGGTCTACCTCATGCAAGAACGTGGGTTTCTGGAGTATCCCCATCCTGTGTTTGAATCCTCCAGTGATTCTTAGTAGCTCTGTGACCTTGAGCGAGTAACTTAACCTCTTTGATCCTCAGCTTTGTCATCTGTAATATGGGCATGCTGCCTACTTCAGAAAGAAGTTGAAGGAATGAAATGAGATGACACATGCAAAGCACAGTCCTAATATAAGGAAGGCATCAGGTCATTCTCCCTCCTCTATCTTCAATCTGACCCTGTTCTTCCTGTCAAAAGACAATGTCTAATCCAATGGGTCTGAGGTCTTAGTTCCTTTAGTTTATAGTATTTTTACTGAGCTTCTCTCCAAGCAGCACTGTAATGAAGAAACAAAACATGTCATCTCCCTGCAACATGAAACCTTCCTGTCACTTCCCTTCAAAGTGCAAACATATCCTGACTTCCAATGCATTAGTTTTGCCTGTTTATGCTCTTATTTTGAAAAACACAGTATATCCTCATATTTATCTTGTTTCTTTCATTTAAAATGGTTTTGTGAGATTCATCCATATTGTTGTATACATTTGTAGCTAGCTGTTCATTCTCATTGCTGTATCATCCTCTTCCATTGTATGAATACATAATCTATCTCTTCTAATGACCATTCAAAGGATGTCAGTATGCAGGAATAATGGGTAATAAAAGCCCTTCTGCAAAGCTAGAAGTTTCAAAGTGGTGAGAGCAGGTGGTGCCGAATCACACCAGGCAAGGTGAGGGCCTGACCTATGACACTGACTTAATTGATCACTTCTCATGCCTTTCAGATGGATGAAATTACATATTCTTCCCTGAACTTCAATGGCCAGGAATCAAAGAAGCCAACTCATGCCTCTCCGTCCCCAACAGCCACAGAAACGCTTTATTCAGAAGTAAAAAAGAAGTAATGCAACCAGCTCTGCTCACTGCACTGCTGACTGATTCCCAGCTTCTCATCTCCATCACTAGGAGACCCCTTTGCCCTCCGGAAAAGGAGAAGCCTCTTTTCCCCTCCTCCTTTACTCACTCATGAGACACCTCCAGGTTCCTGGTCACAGCCCCTCCCTTCAGTGTCAACAGATGAAAAGGCACATCCGGGAGTCTGTAGGAAGCCCAACCTTCCTTGTCATTGAAATTTGGCAAAGCAGACCTTGGGAGAGAGTTGCCAGAACCTCCAGCCCCTCCCCATTCCCTGACCGAGACTTGTTCTAAATTTACCTATTGAGCCCACCTTCACTCCTTCCTGTTGGAGTCTAACTTGAATTTGCCATAACTTTGAGAGTTACATCCTTATCCACTGAAATACGTGTATCAGAAAAGAAGAGAGAGAAAAACTAAAAGCTTCTCCTATCTCTCCAAAGCCCAGTGTGAATGGACCACACAGGAAAATAAATATATAACGAAGTCTCAACAAGGAAATTCTACACCTTTGTCCATTGTCAGGGTGTCTAAACACCTTTCTGCTTGGCTAGAATACCACCTAAGCCTTTGGCAAGCCTGTCTTCAGAGAAACCACTAGAAGCAACTAGGAAAACTATAGGTGATTCCCAAGAGAAAATGTAAAGAAAAAAGCACATATGTTTTAATAACTTTATTGGCTTTTATTCAAGGAAATGCCTACAGAGGAAAGAGGTTACTGTTTTAGAGGGTACTCAGCTCCCAATAAGAAACAGTCTAACCGTGGCTGGTGTTGCTCAGTGATTAGAGCGTTGGCCCACGGAACTAAGGGTTTCAGGTTTGATTCCTGGTCAAGGGCGTGTACCTGGGTTGCAGGTTGGATTCCTGGCCCCAGTTGCGTTCATGCAGGAGACAACCAATCAATGTGTTCCTCTAGTGTAGGTGTTTCTCTTCCTCCTTCTCTAATTCTCCCCATCCCTACTTCCCTTTCACTCTCTAAAAATTAATGGAAAAAATATCCTCAGGTGAGGATTAACAAAAAAACAAACAAACGAAAACCAATCTGCTAGGAATTTCAGAAACGAATCAGGGTTACCCTTTAGAGATTATTTAAATAATTATTAAAGAATGCACAATTTGAGGTAGTGGGTTTGTTCCCGTCTCTGAGACATTTCACCATTTTAATCTTTGTAACACCATATGCGAAAGGGGTTAATTTTACTTAGCTTTGCTTTATAAGCCAATCTGAGGACCTTAAGTGAAAGAAGCCACCTATGCCCCTCCCTTGACCAGGAGCTCCTCAAGCTTTTATGTCAGTGGCTCCAAGTGGAAAAGAAGACCCAGTTTCTCTCATTCATGGCTGGAGATGGATCTAAGTCAGTTCCGGGCATCTTAAGCCAATCATCAGACACCATTTGAGTTCATGTTTCTGCCAGTGCAAGTTCTATCCATCTTCCCCACTTACTGTCTCAGGAAACCTGGGCCTCTGCTAAGGTGTATTTGGTCCTTGAGAAGTGGTAGCCTGAAAGGAACACTGTCACTCACACTGTTGCCATTGTTTACAACCCGGAAAGCTGCACTGGTGCTGACGCTCCTTAGGACACGGGAGGATCATAACTGGGCCCCAGGCTCTGGAATTTTTCTCCCATGGGGTCTGAGTCCCATTGTGTCAGAATAAAAAAGAAGGGAAAAGGGAAGGAGAGGCAAAGTATTGCCCACCCAGCCTTCCACACGGATGACTTTCTTTAGGGCTGATGAGAGAAATAATTTATTCGATATTGATTACTGGATCTCAAACTGTCTAAGAGACCCCCCAGAGAGGATTAGTTGGGAGTTCTCTGTACTCAGGTACCTCTTTCAGGGTTTTCTGACCCTGACACAGACTGTAAATACTTCCCCTCATCTGTGCTATTCTCTGTTATTTAATTTTGTCCGGCTAAGGCCACTTCTGAATTATTTGTAAAATTTGCTCTATATTTATAATAAAAATCATATATCAGACATCAATATGCTGCCTCACAGTTGATAATGCTTTAGACAATGTCTTCTTTACAGGCAGAAGAAATAGAAATTACATAACTGGTAGTCAAAGCCTATTTCTAAGTCTACAGATATTCTACCTAGTCACCAGAGAAGTAGCTAATTTTATTTGCACACCAGCTAACAAAGTGAGTCTATCAAGAAGCAACAGCCCACAGCTGCAAACTGCCTGGAAGAAACTGCCTATTTTGCTCTGGGAAAGATGATTTCATGAGTGAAAAATTCCCAGCCTCTTCATTAGGGACAAATAACACTCCCCACACCAGTGGCTCCAGCGAATCAGATGCAGCAACAGGGCTTCACCCACATGAAGTCTCCGTGGGTTCTGTCCTGTAGAAATCTCTCTGACACTATCTTCCTGTCCCAAGGTCAGTTTTTCTGCCACCTCACAGGGTCAAAGATCTTCGCACCCGAATAACCTTCATTAATTCCAGTATTAGCCTGTTATCTCACTTCCTTCATTTCCAAGCGATTGAAATGTATGCTGTCTTTCCCTTTCCTCATCACCAAGTTTCTTCTCCATCCTCAGTATCCGAATCTTGACCAGACTCAAAGATGTTTCCTCCGTCCTCACATTGCTCACTTTTATAATCTCTAAGACACCCGTGGGCAAACTACGGCCCGCGGGCCGGATCCGGCCCGTTTGAAATGAATAAAACTAAAAATAAAAAATAAAAAAGACCGTACCCTTTTATGTAATGATGTTTACTTTGAATTTATATTAGTTCACACAAACACTCCACCCATGCTTTTGTTCCGGCCCTCCGGTCCAGTTTAAGAACCCATTGTGGCCCTCAAGTCAAAAAGTTTGCCCACCCCTGCTCTAAGACCATAGACAACTTTTTCCTCCTTGGGTGTCCTCCTGTTCCACACACACCAGAATTAGTACTCAGACCCTGCTATCTCCCCCCACACCAGCCTCCTCTTCCCCCAGCTTCAGTGACCTCTGTGCAGATGGCTCCCATATCTGTATCTCTAGCCCCTGCTTCCCAGTACTCAGCACACTCATATCCAAATGCCTTCTGAAGTTACTTCCCATTTAAACTGGCTTTCCCCCACAGCTCATTCATTTGTCAGTGACACCAGTTCCTCAGCTCTTGCTTTTTGTCTCCCAGATTCCATACATCATCAAAGCCTGTTGATTCTCTTTTTTTATTATTGATTTTTTTACAGAGAGGAAGGGAGAGAGATAGCTAGAAACATCGATGAGAGAGAAACATCGATCAGCCGCCTCTGGCACATTCCCCCTGGGGATGTGCCCGCAACCCAGGTACATGCCCTTGACCGGAATCGAACCCGGGACCCCTCAGTCCGCAGGCCGACGCTCTATCCACTGAGCCAAACCGGTTTTGGCCTGTTGATTCTTTCTGAACATCTCTCCCTTGTGCCCTTTCCTCCATTCCCACAAACCTAAATAACCCAGGCTCTCAGCAACTCCAGTGGGGTTCAGCTTGACTTTTTGTCTCTGGTCTTTAATGGACTCTGCCTTGCACAACACTCATTAACTTCCTAAAAGCTGGTTCACTCTCCTACTCAAGAGTCTACTGTAGCCTGCCCTGGCCTACCAAGTAAGTTCAAATTTCTTTCTTCCTCATTCTCTTTACCACTTCTCTCTAGTATAATTCCTCCATTCTAATTAGATCTGTCTCCTTATCCATCCTGGCCCCTTAACCCCATACACACATATAATTCTTAGTCCCAATGCTGTGTCTGAAAACAAATGCCACACAGGGCAATGATCCATCTATTATTCACAGAGGAGTTAACACACCAGTCATCAAGAGCAACAATGACCCAACGCAGGACAGGAACCTGTCGCATTAACGTGTGTACCTGAGACTCGCAACACAGCCTATCTCTTCCTAATGACCACAGACTCTTCCTAATGACCAATTTATGTGCCCATGAAATTCTTATGGAGCACCTACTGCTCTACAAGTCTCAGTGTTAGATCTCATGGAAGAGACAAAAATGAGAAAGGCAGGGTTCCTACCTCAAGGAACATGAATCCTAAGGCAAGAGATAAGACATGAAAAATTATCCTATATAATAAAAGCCTAATATGCTAAGTGTCCAGTCATCTGGTCGGCCATTCAACCAATCAAAGCGTAATATGCTAATGATATGTTAAGGCCATTCAACCGTCCGCTATGACATGCATTAACCACCAAGGGGCAGACACTCTAACTGGTAGGTTAGCTTGCTGCTAGGGTCCGGCCGATCAGAACTGAGCAAGACAGGCCGGACATGCCCTGGGGTCCTCCTGTAGTCCCTCTCCAGCTGGCCAACCTCCCATCTCCCTCCCTGGCCCCAATCATGCACCAGTGGGGTCCCTCGGCCTGGCCTGAGCCCTCTCGCAATCCAGGCTGAGGGACCCACTCCCTGAGTGCACAAATTTCGTGCACTGGAACTCTAGTTATAATATAAAAATAGAAAAAGATAAATGCCACAAAAGTAGACAGAGATGTGTGGCACATCCATTGGGAAACATGGCTATTCATCAGAATGGCTGGAGAATTCTAGAAACAACTGATTCTCAATCCTTACCCACAGATTTCAATTCAATTAGTGTGAGGTGGAACCCAGGCATTGCTTTTTTTTTAAAGCTTCCCAGATACTTTTAACATGTAGCCAAGGATGGAGAACCTCTGCTATCATAGGTAGAACTTGAGCCTAAAAGCAATGGTAAAAACAAAGAGTATAAATCAGAATTATCTTAGGAAATTTTTTCAACCATCCTTGAAGAAGCTGATACAGTATGTCTGGAATAAGACTGAGGCTTGTATATTTTGAGAAACTCCCAGATGATTCTTACATATATTCCATGTTAGGAAACACTGGCATAAAACATAGGAAAGATTGAAAAACTGGTGAGTTGGGAAAATATTCCACAAGATAAGCATAACATGAATAATACATTCTGCAAGGCGTCGAGAAGAACTCAAAAAAGTTATTGGCATATAGCTAAACTTTAAAAGACTGATAACACCAAGTGTTGTGAGGATGTGAAACAACCAGTATTCTTATATATTCTTGGTGGAAATATAAAAAGAAACAAGCACTCTGGAAAAGAGTTTGGCATTTTCTTATGTTAACTATATAGTCCAGCAATTCCACTTCCAGGAATTTACCTAAGAGAGATGAAAATAATGTAGCTATCCATATAAGGAGTTATAAAGGAAGAAAAAAAATGGAAAGGAAGAGAGGGAAGGAAAAAGTTATGAGATAATTACAGAAATCTGAACATTGAATATTTTATGATATTTAGGAAGTACTATTTTTAGTGTGATAATGGTATTGTGCTTATGTCTTTTTATATAACTTTTTAAATTTATTTGAGAGAGAGAGACAACAATGTGAGAGAGAAACATTGATTGGTTGCCTCCCACACGTGTCCCAATCAGGGATCGAATCCACAACCCTTTGGTGTATGGGACAACACTACAATCAACTGAGCAACACTGGCCAGGGCTCTGGTTATGCTTTTTTTAAAGCCCTTAATAAGTTAGTAATACAACTGAAATACAGGAGTGGGCAAAAGTAGTTTTATAGTTGTTCATATGGAAAATAATACAATTATTAAAACAAACGAGTATGTGCTTCACATACTCACAACTGTAAACCTACTATTGTCTACCCCTGTATTAACAGATGAAATGATCTTATGTCTGGGATTTGCTTTAGAACAATCCAATTGGCGGAAAGGGTTGTAGATGAAACAAGATTGACTATGAAATAATTGCTGAAGCTGTGTGATGAGCACTTGTAAGTTCATTATTTTACTAGCTTAATCTTTGCAACTATTTAAAATTTTACCAAAAAAAAAGAAGTTCTTGCCCTAACCGGTTTGGCTCAGTGGATAGAGCGTCGGCCTGCGGACTGAGGGGTCCCGGGTTCGATTCCGGTCAAGGGCATGTGCCTTGATTGCAGGCACATCCCTAGTGGGGGTTGTGCAAGAGGCAGCTGATTGATGTTTCTCTCTCATTCATGTTTGAGTCTCTATTCCTCTCACGGCCGACGCTCTATCCATTGAGCCAAACCGGCCAGGGCTAAAATATATTTTTTTAAAAAAAGAAGTTCTTGCTCTCCAGAAGGTTATAACCCAAAGAGTCAAATATTCCAACAAATAGAGCATCATGTAGTTAAACAATATAGACACAAAGTGCTAGTGTTACCAGCCAAAAGACAACTCTGAGATGATTCTATGAGAAGGAACTTTATTGTAAGTCAGTAACAAAGACACACTGGGGTGGGTCACTTCCCAAAGCCGTGTATCCCCAAGAAAGCATCAAATTAATCTTTATTTGGGGAAAACATGCATAACCATTAAGGTGAGCTTCATCGTCGCAGGTATAGATAGGGATGCACAGTCAGAAAACATGGCTATTCATACATCTCAGGTTCAAAAACAAAGGAAAATCTCTGCCCCTAACTGGAGAGTTTAGTATTATAATGAGGGTATAATGAGAAAAATTCATGAGGAGGTCACTACAGGGTTCTCTAAGCTGCTTAAGCCAGTCTCAGGTAGTTTCAGCCAGATCACCCCCACCACCGCCCTCCCCACCCCCATCCTGGGCTTGTTTCTGAAAAACAGCTCTGGCAATCATCAGTGTCAGGGATGGTGTAGGAGGGATGGTGTAGGTATGAAAGGAAGTTTAGCTAATTAAGTCTCAGCCTTTAGTTAAATTCTTAGCAAATTACAGGGTACGGTTACAAAAACCTTATAAAATCTAGTGGGTTTAGAGGTTAACCTAAGCAAAGTTATGAATTCTAAATAAAGTCATTCTGTGCTAGGCTACAGGTAAAGGTTAGGTTACTCTAGTCAAGCTCCAAGGCCAGTGACTGGCCAGGAATAGGCGAGTGAGTCAACCCCCTGACCAGAGTCTTGAGGAAAGAGTATCCCAGATAAAGGGCAGACAGGCAATACAAAGGAGACAGATGTGAAGCGGCAGGACTTCCCCACACTCTGGATGACTTACTAGAGGCCATGCTACTTAAGAGCACATGTTCTAAAGCCAGACCACCTGCACCAGATTTGCCCACTGGGTAATGGTAATGCTTCCGTGCCTCAGAGTCTTTACTTATGAACGGAGATTAAAGTAATACATACATCACAAGGTTGTTGTCAGGAGTCAATGAGTTAATTCATGCGTAAAACACTTAGGTGGTGGGTAAACAATAAATGTGAGCTGTTAGTAGCAGTATCTCAGCCCACAACACCACACACTTTTAAAATCTCATCTAATTTCTGTTTGTTACTTATCTTCTTTTGGTTAGACCAGTGGTCGGCAAACTGTGGCTCTCGAGCCACATGTGGCTCTTTGGCCCCTTGAGTGTGGCTCTTCCGTTAGACTATACATTGGAAAACAGGGACTTTGTCTTGTTTATCTCTGTATCCCCAGGACCTAGCCTAAGGCCATGCCCACAAGAGGCATTGTAGGGGAGCTCAGAGATGCACTATGTCTCCAGCAGTAAAGATGTCTGGGAAATGTTGGACTCTGTTTAACCTTCTGTGACTGTTTAACTCTCGGTAGCCTCAGGTTTAGCTGACTACCCAGAAAGTCAGAATGCCACCCAAAGATAAAGTTCAGGCCCCAGGAAGGGGTTAATGAATGCATAGAGTGGGATAACTGCCTAATGTTATTGTTCACTTAGAACTGCATTGTTCTTTCTGGTGGTCTGCATGACTACCCAACATATGGTTTTACTATCAACCCCCTATAAAAAAAGAGACCCTGTGCTGGGAGGAGTGCGGATCTCTTCCCGGCCGGCCACCACTGGCAGCAAGCAGCTGCTTTGCACCTGTGTGTCCGTTTTTCCTATTAAAGGTCTTATGATGTCTGTATGTCAGTTCATCGGAATCAATCCTGAATTTAGATTATTGGAGCTTTCCCCAACAGGCACACATCAAGCAACTCTTCTTTAAGGCTGCAGGGAAGGCACTACCCTGTGGATCAGGGGTCCTCAAACTACGGCCTGCAGGCCACATGCAAATACAAATATTATATTTGTTCCCGTTTTGTTTTTTTACTTCAAAATAAGATATGCGCAGTGTGCATAGGAATTTGTTCATAGTTTTTTTTTAAAACTATAGTCCGGCCCTCCAACGGTCTGAGGGACAGTGAACTGGCCCCCTGTTTAAAAAGTTTGAGGACCCCTGCTGTGGATTATGCCCTCAATTCCTACAATTATTTGGCTTCCTTTTGCTTCCTTTCTTGTTTCCACTTCCTCCCTTATTCTGCTCCAGAGATGTTCATTCACGAATGGTGCGCTCTGGTCCCTTCTCCAGCAGGTGTTCCAACGCTTCCTCTCTCTCTCTCTCTCCCCCCACAATTATATTCTCCCAAAAGCCTCTGCATCACTTATTCTGCAATTAATAAAGGGTGAAAGGCGGGTGGATTTCTGGACCATTAACCTCAGTCCTATTTGTGAGAAGCAGAATCCTCTGGAAAAAGAGGAAAGCAGATAGAACGGTAGTCAGCATATAAAGCCTTCAAATATAGCCTCATCTTTGAAGAAACCCTATAGACATGTTTGTACACTCAGCTAACATTTCACTGGGGTTTTGAGGGAGGCATGACAGGCAGGGAGCCCAGCTTTGTGTTAAATGTTGCTTTGTAAACTTTGGGGTTTCTTTTCCCACACTAATAAACATCCTCATTTTCTCCCCAGGGCAGACTCGGAGAAGAAAAACCGGAGACCAAGAACTGAGAAGCTGCAAAACCACAGACGGCTGCAGACTCCAAAGATGAAGCAGGAAGGTCAGATGCAGATCTCGCTGGAATCACAGCTCTCTGTACACAGTGCCCTCTGCCCTGGGCAGTGATGTGGGGTTGGAACATGATCCTGGTCTCCCCAAGAATGGGAATTGCTGGTAGAACATTAACTAGCTGCCCAGGAGCAGAAAGCAATGGAGCCCTTGCCCTACCTATTCTCCCCAGAGAGAAGGACAGTTTCCTCAGAGAGAAGGACAGTTCAAGGCTATGTGCCCAGCCCAAGGATTTGATGGTTCTTTTCTGTAAAATAAAACTTAAAAAGCTAGGTCAGGCAGGGATCACAAAGCAGAAATGGGACACAGGCAAGAATGCACTAAAAGGATATTGGTGCATGCTTTGTTTAAGGTCAAAGTCTTCTGAAATGTGCCAACCTCCCTCCACTGCTGCCTGGGCTCCGTAGTTGGAGCCCTATCTGAACTCAACTAGAGCAAGAAAGGAAAAGAGGAACTGGGAACAGGAAGACAGATAAATACAGAGTGGCAGGCTGCCTGAAATACTAAGTGTGATTATAAGGAAGTAAAACTGGTTTTATAGGGCTCAGACTGGTTTTAAGAACAACTCTAGCCGAAACCGGTTTGGCTCAGTGGATAGAGTGTCAGCCTGCGGACTGAAAGGTCCCAGGTTCGATTCCGGTCAAGGGCATGTACCTGGGTTGCGGGCACATCTCCAGTGGGAGATGTTTTAATTAATAACAGAACTTTTGGAATATATGAATAGCCACCCAGGACAACTACGCTTAAGGTGCCCATATTTATCTGGATATGACATACTTATAAAAGAAATCCTACTGAGACAGGCCAGTAAGCCAGGACAAGTGGAATGGGGAAACTGAGACAAATAGCCAAACAAACTGGCTTAGCAATTGACAGCCAGATATAAAAGATTACCCCTCTAGAGACAACATCTAGGCCTCAATTGCATTTCAGCTCCAGATCCAGAAAAACAACAAAATCTAGCCAGTTTGGCTCAGTGGTTGGAGCATTGGCCCACACAGACTGAAGAGTTCCAGGTTCGATTCTGGTCAAGGGCCTGTAACTTGGTTGCAAGCTCAATCCCCAGCTCAGGCCTCGGTACATGCTGGAGGCAACCAATCAATGTGTCTCTCTCATATTGATGTTTCTGTCTCTCTGTCTCTCCCCCTCCTTCTACTCTGTCTAAAAATCAATGGAAAAAAATATCTTTGGGTGAGGATTAACAATAAAAAAGGAATGAAAAGAGGAAAAAGAAATAATCCAGCCCTAACTGGTTTGGCTCAGTGGATAGAGCATCAGCCTATGGACTCAAGGGTCCCAGGTTCGATTCCGGTAAAGGGCATGATCCTTGGTTGCGGGCACATCCCCCGTAGGGAATGTGCAGGAGGCAGCTGATCGATGTTTCTCTCTCATCGATGTTTCTGACTCTCTATCCCTCTCCCTTCCTCTCTGTAAAAAAATCAATAAAATAAATTTTTTTTAAAAAAGAAATAATCCAGATATCTAACAATAGGAAAATTATTAAGTTATGAATCATCCATTAACATCATGTTAGACAGCCATTATAAAGGTTTTTTGTAAAGTTTATTAATATGAGAAAATTCATAACAAGTAAAAAATCAATATACAGACTTATATACATAGTATGATCTCAATAATTACAAAAATGGGCAAAGAGTCTAAATATACCTATAATTCTAGATGGTGTGATTAGAGGAATCCTTTTCTCTACTTTACAAAATTTCTATAATAAGCATGTATTGTTTTAAAACTCAGCAAAATATTTTTTTTCCTTAAATATATGCCCTCTTGTGGACCTCATATTGGTAGAGGACTTGATGTAAATTGAGCACTTAATAAACATGTGCTTAATTCATTAATTAATGGAAGAAGTGAGCTCCTGTTTTCTGCCTGAGGAACATGAAGCAAGGGAAAGTTAACTGCACTTAGAATGAGGAGGCCTAGAATCGAGAGACTTTGAGAAATTACAGCCTCTCCTCATCCACAAAATGGAGGGAGCTGTGGTGAGAAGCAAATGAAGTAATGCCTGTGAAATTATTTTGTAAATTGGGAAACTTTACACAACATCTAAAGACAAACAATAAGGAACTACTGTTATTTTTGCCCTTCTCAGTTTATTCCCCAAGAGTAATTGTATAAATCTGAGGCCCACCAAATGAGTAATCACTCCTTTCCCAGAACAGTTTACCAATTTTCCCACTTCTCCAAGAGTGGGTGTCCCAAGAGTGGGTATCTCCTGGGGTGGTATCTTACAGAACTCAAATTGTTATAGAGCTATAGTGTCAAGTACCATCACATACAATCAAGGCCTTCCCCACTACACCTGGAGTCTCTCACAAGAGGCAACAGGAAGCTTCATGTCTGATAGTACAGCAGCTTCCTAAGTAATACTTCTACCTTCAGTTTCTACCATCTAACCAATTTTGTACTTTATCATCAAACTAATCTTCCTGTATCATAGAATCACGGACTCTATGGCTAGAGAATCTCCTTTTCAATTGCATGGTTCAAACTCCTTAAAGATGAGAAATCTAAAAAAAAAAAAAAAGATGAATCTAAAGCCCAGAAGTGTTAAAATAAGTGACTAAGCCCTAGCCAGTGTGGCTCAGTTGATAGGAGTGTTGTCCCATACACTGAAAAGCTGGATTCCTGGTCAGGGTACATACCTAGGTTACAGGTTCAATCCCCAGTAAGGCATGTACAGATGTTCTCTCTCACATCAATGTTGAGCTCTCTCTCTCTCTCTCTCTCTCTC